CTGGACACGTTTTTGGTATACATATTAAATGTGTAGCAGGCTAATCTTCTTAACTTAATGTTAGCACGAAGTGTTTGCAAGAATAGGTTCCAGCTCTGACGACGTCTATCATGGACGAAAGCTCAGTCCGCTTTCATTTAAAACGAAAGAGGGCTGCGTTAACCTGAAAGTCAATTAAAATCAAACGATTGTAGAAGGGAAATCGACCGTTGTCTTCTGATGAGATCGACATACGAATATATTTTATGCGGAATAAAAGCCAACCTAACAATAATTAATTAAGATGCTTCGGTCAAGCGTGCTTTTATAGTACGCCAACAAATATCTGATATAAATCTAATAATCCATGTTTAACCTAAATGTCATCTCATAAATAGGCTACAGTTAAACAATGGGTCGATATTATATTAGCAATCTGCCTTCAATGCGCTTAAGCTCCATACAGTCCGGATCCCCAGGTAAAATTCTGGGATGCCTTCGAGTTTTTATAAGTTAATACTAGCATTCAAGTGCTGAACGTTTTTTTGTGTTTAGATGCCTAGTTAGCCGATAGTAGGATATAATAATTTGAGGATTATAGCATAGCGAGTTAAGATTAATTCGTAATTAGTACTTGAAATATGACTTAATGAAAATGGTGTTTTTGGTGAGATATGCATGATAATAGTTAATATAAAAAGAGGTAAAGAATATGAATATAAAAAACTCCAAATGAGAAAGTGACATCAAAATAAGGAATAAAAGGTGTAACAAGTAATTGATGATGCTAAAAACGGATCGCGAAAGTTGAATTCTCACTTGTGTCGACAAGTTTAGTGGCGCTAAATGATTGCTTCATTGTTTCCCGGATAAAATAATGAAAGTGATTAAAAACCGGATGCCAGGCGAAAAACAGTGGGTCGATAGAAGCGATTGCACAATAATTATTAATCAAGATATGCACTTTGTAGTTGACTCTGGCTATAATTAAATCCACATCAGAAAAGAACAAAAAATAGCGAAGGATCTGGTAAAACTTTAGAATGAACTCAAGAGTGCTGGTTGTTAATAAACATATCGATACTATGCTAAATTTAGAATGCCTGACTCTTGACTAGGCCGCCATAGGGCTCAGGCTGAGTAAGCTCTTTGTGGTTCATCTATGTCACCTGCATCAACCATAATGCTGAGCATACTAGCGGAGTTAATTAAGATTTGGGCCGGTCACAACCGCCCATAATTGCTGGTCGGAATTTCATTATTATCCGTCTCGGAAACGTTCGGCTCGCGTTGCAGCTTGGCTAAGTCAATGAAGATCTGCTCCAGAGTCGTTTGGCTGATCGAGTAGTTGATAAGACCAAGACGCGCCTTGTTGGCCTCCAGAAGTTCGAAAATTCGACTCAAACTTATGGCATCTTCAAATATGACCTGATTCTCTGGATTGGACGAATCAGAAGTGAGAGGCGTGGCAAAATTCAATACGGAGGGAAGGTGGTAGTGAAGTAGACCCTTTGCATAAGAGGAAAAATGATAAAGGTTGTTAATTTATGGGATTCGGCAGGTTTTGTCCTCATTGTTATGTTTATGAGCGAAAAAATGCAAGGATCAAATTTGAAGTAAACCAAAAGGACAAGCGAATCGTGGATATGGTTCAAAAATAATAAGGGTGTTATTTGGGTTCGCTGGTTTAAGCCTAAGCTACAGGGGAATGATTTTTTTAAAATTAAGCACATGAAAAAAATAGATAGATCTACTAAGAACTAATTTGAAACATAAAACCTCTTAAGTATGAAATAATGGCGTAATGTGGAGGTGAAGAATTGGATAACTTTCAGACAAGAAAAATTCTAGCAAATCATCAAAATCGCCATTTGGGCGAATTCATTCCTGTGGAGACATAAAGATATTTCACCATTACCTTCGGCAGACCACTAATCACTTAAACAGGACCAAGTTTCTAGATTTGGATTATGATATAATTCATAATTGTTTCGTATGAGTTCCTCAAATGGCCATGTGAAAGGTTAGATTTATTTTTTAAAAAGAAGTATTTGATACTTTTATTATTCTGAAGCTAAAATTTGATAGATGCATGTGCATCTATCACGCTCGTAGAGGGGGGATTCAAAGGACCATAAAGGTGAGAGCGGAGTAGGCTACCCAGTGCTTTTTTTTGAACGTCCGTATTATGGTACTTTTGTTATGGCTAGCCTTAAGCATTGAGCTGGTAATAAAAATAGATGGCTTCTCAATAGGCTTCATTGTGAAGAATGTATTATGCTTGATGACCCCATGTTGGATACTAGCTAGACAGAGACCTGGGAGATGTGATAATGAAATAGTATAAAGATCAAAAATTCTACAAAGCTAAATTGTTGTAGAAGTGGGTTGACCTCGTTGCCACAACTTGGTCTTGTTTTTAGGGAGACTA